ATGTATTAAAGTAAAGAGAAAATAAAGAGAAAGTAACTAAGCTGATGTCCTGTCCGTTCGTTCACCATACAAATACGCTACAATAAATTAAAACTATATTAAAACATTACTAAAAAAAATTTGCCCCCCCCCCCTTTTGGTAAGTTAATCGATTTTTTTGCCCCCCCCCCTAGAAAGTTTTCTGCGGGCGCCCATGGTACCAGGCATTCATATATTACTTTTGGGGAGAGAGCGCATTAGGACGTCTAAAGTCAAGCTTTTGCTTGCCACGATGTAGTATCAGCAGCGTATAGATTCTGCTTGCCACAATGTAGCATTAATAGCGTAGCTTCTGCTTGCCACAATGCAGTATCAATAGCGTAGCTTCTGCTTGCCACAATGTAGTATCAATAGCGTAGCTTCTGCTTGACACAATGTAGTATCAATAGCGTAGTTTCTGCTTGCCACAATGCAGTATCAATAGCGTAGCTTCTGCTTGCCACAATGTAGTATCAATAGCGTAGCTTCTGCTTGACACAATGTAGTATCAATAGCGTAGCTTCTGCTTGCCACAATGTAGTATCAATAGCTTAGCTTCTACTTGACACGATGTAGTATCAGCAGCGTACCTTCTCCTTGCCACGATGTATTATCAATAGCGTATAGCTTTTGCTTGTCACGATGTAGTATCAATAGTGTATAGCTTTTGCTTGCCACGATGTAGTATCAATAGCTTAGCTTCTGCTTGCCACGATGTATTATCAATAGCGTAGCTTCTGCTTGCCACAATGTAGTATCAATAGCGTAGCTTCTGCTTTCCACAATGTAGTATCAATAGCTTAGCTTCTGCTTGCCACGATGTAGTATCAATAGCGTAGCTTCTGCTTGCTACAATGTAGTATCAATAGCTTAGCTTCTATTTGACACGATGGAGTATCAATAGCGTAGCTTCTGCAGGAAATTCGCTTCCACACACTTTGTGCTTCATTCCTCATACCTGCAACAAGCATGATTAATGTCACCATAGCAAGGTCAAAAGTTGACAACTTCTCTGAGTGCATTTTTCAAAAGTCCTGGTTTTGGTTGAACAACAAATTAATAGTGGTCAGTGGTCATCATCTTTAAGTTCAAGTACCGTAAGGAGAAAACGTCCAATTAATTTATTCTTTTCAATTTTTTTTCACTTGAAACTTTTACGCTAAAACACAAATGTCGAATAAATGTATTCATACAGCGCTACCTTCACTATACTACAAAATATGTAATGCAATCATTGTATAGTACAGTGGGTCGCACGACCCTTTACACAGGACCATCGGAAAACACATTTATGAAGTAGCAACGAAAATAATTTTATGGTTGGGGTTCGCCAGAACATGAGGAACTGTGTTAAAGGATTGCGGCAATAGGAACGTTGAGCTTGAGAACCACTGGTATAAATGATTCACACAAATCGTTCCATTTATAAGGGGAGCCAAGTCGTGTATTATTGTTTCTAAATATACAGAGAATGGCCTCCCTTAAAAAAAAAAAAGGCATCTTGAAATGGCTGTTTAATCTTGTAGTGTGAGTAAGCCACTCTGAATTGCTAGATGGGTCATATTGAGAAGATAAAACTCAGCACTTATGGAAATTTTTCAAATTAAAAATTCATATTAACATAGTGCAGAAAAAACTGAGTCATTTATAAACTGTATTGGCATGTTTTTTAGATATATATTTGTTTATCTGACAAATTCCTATGTCATCCTTCTTCCCATTTACTGCACCTTGTGTATACACACACATTGTCAAATGTCTTAGGGTCTTAACCTTCTACTCAACTGATACACACATTGTCAAATGTTTTAGGGTCTTAACCTTCTACTCAACTGATACACACATTGTCAAATGTCTTAGGGTCTTAACCTTCTACTCAACTGATACACACATTGTCAAATGTCTTAGGGTCTTAACCTTCTACTCAACTGATACACACATTGTCAAATGTCTTAGGGTCTTAACCTTCTACTCAACTGATACACACATTGTCAAATGTTTTAGGGTCTTAACCTTCTACTCAACTGATACACACATTGTCAAATGTCTTAGGGTCTTAACCTTCTACTCAACTGATACACACATTGTCAAATGTTTTAGGGTCTTAACCTTCTACTCAACTGATACACACATTGTCAAATGTCTTAGGGTCTTAACCTTCTACTCAACTGATACACACATTGTCAAATGTCTTAGGGTCTTAACCTTCTACTCAACTGATACACACATTGTCAAATGTCTTAGGGTCTTAACCTTCTACTCAACTGATACACACATTGTCAAATGTCTTAGGGTCTTAACCTTCTACTCAACTGATACACACATTGTCAAATGTTTTAGGGTCTTAACCTTCTACTCAACTGATACACACATTGTCAAATGTCTTAGGGTCTTAACCTTCTACTCAACTGATACACACATTGTCAAATGTCTTAGGGTCTTAACCTTCTACTCAACTGCAGACTTAAGCTGTAGGAAAACCTTGAGTTGTATTCCTTAGGATACATTTATCATCATTTCAAGTAAAAGCCTTTTTTTTTTGTTTTGTTTTTTTGAAAACAAGTTTTTCTAGACCTTTATAAATATGCTGCAACAAACTAGTGAAGTCAGTCATACTAAACTATACTATACTATGCAGAAATGTGAAAACATGTAAAAGGCCTCCTGCCTTCCAACCCCCAATTCCTGATACCTTTGCTGAGTAGCCCTTGGAACCATCTTCTTCAAAACCATGCACAGTTACATCGTGAACCTCTCTACAGACATAGGAGCCAGATTGGTCAATTCATTGATAGTGGGCCCTCAAAATACAGAATAAGAAGAATTAGTCCCATAACTGGCTCAAATAAATTAAAGTTATTTTTCTATCTCAAATTAAAAATAAAATAAAAATAAATTAGAAGCATCATTGAAATTGAAGAAGAAAAAGAAAAGGAATGTTTAGACAATATTTATTGAATAATAGAAAACTTACATTAAATACAATATGTGAAATCTCTGGAATGTTTAAGGCCTTACTCAAATACAGTACAGGAATGTTGTGTTATAGCTGCTCATTTAAGCTACAGATTACAGCGGGCAAATATAAATCTTTTAATCAATCATTAAAAACATTTGGTTTTTAAGTTGTTTTTTTTTAAAAGGGAAACTACTCTATATGTAACCCAAAGGCCTAATCAATAACAAAAATGAATACTATTCTTACCAATTCTAGGTGCAGTTTTTACTAAATAGACCCCTCCCCAGTTTATAATAACACTTAAAATTTCGTGAAAGTAAATCTTCTTAAACAAAAAAAAAAATTATAATAATAATTTGTGTACTGAATTTTAGTACATATTTTGTGTGTGTTGATCTATAGAAGTGAATATTTATAAATGATTGAAAATTAAATGACAAACATATTTTTAAAAAAATAATGATATTTACATGGTAAGTTGTTATTTAATGTAGAAAGAAATGATAATTTAAAAACACCTTTAAATTTGTAAAAAAAAACAAAACTAGCTTTTAAAATCATTAGGTCTTAAATGAAAAAAAATAAAATGAACACTAAATATTATGTATCGTTAACTTTAAATGTAAACAAATTACAGTCTATCTCAGCCCATGTATAAAACTCATTCTGAACACTACCTGACTGAAAAAAACTTAATGGAAAAAAGATAATGATAAATTGTAACTCTCTTGCAGCAGTTTTTACAGTACAAAACTTATACCAAAAAAAAAATTGTTTGCATAGTCTGCTAAACAGACATACAAGCAAAAATAAAATATTTTAGCAAAACAATATGTGATGTCACTCCCCAGTTTCAAATAAATTTCAATTTCTAAACCAGTTTCACTTATTTGATATTGGTATGAATACAACATTTCAGCTGATCAGTTATCTGGTCCCCATTCTTTCTCTCTTTAAAAATCTAAATTGGCAGGGATATCGTCAATTAGTTTGTTCAAAGAGGTTAGATATTCCTTTGATTATGTACAAGAATTAAAACTAATCAAATCAGCAGAAATTAACAAAGATACTTCTGGCACTGCAGGTACTTTGTTCATCTGTTAAAGACTCAAAGCTGGCTAAAGATCGATTTCCCTAGAGATGATGGCCCCACTTGCACTGCTGGTACTGGATGGGGGCCCCTTCCTTTTGTACTCTGGGCTGGAGGGCTGGTAGGACACAGATGGAGCTTGCCTAAGGCTGGCCGGTGGAATATAGCTGTCATTTCGTGGTGGGTCAGCGTATGCCATTCTGTCCATACGACCAGAATGTAGAATAGGCTGCATGCCGTATGTATTTGGTCCATGCTGGGTAGGTGGAATATACACATATTTCTTACCCACCTGTTAATAGAAATAATACAAACTCATAAAAGAAAAGTAGATATAATAATTAAATCTCAAGTTGAAAATTTTTCAGCATACAAAAAAATACTTGCTCTGCTGACTTAAACTCAGGGGGAACTTTCCATTGATCAAACTGTTCACTAATGTTTGTTTTAGTTTTTACCCAGGGCTACTTTTGTAAAAGTAAAACTTGCTTTTAGCAGACAGGGTTTCTTAAACTGTAACAGTACCTGCACTTTTAAAAAAAAATTCAAAGATTCTGATGTCTTTAATCATTAATTCACAAAATAAATTTTATTTTAGAAAAAAAAACGTAACTGATTTTATAACAGTTTTATATATATATATATATATTACTCATCCAAGGTTCAAATGATGAGCTGTTGTGTAAAATTTGTTGGTAGGCCAAAATATTATCTTATGGAAGAGGTATGCAGTAACTATAGTATCCACATGAAAAAACACAATGATATGGAAAATATAAAAGTGTGCTGTACTTTTTTGTGCAGCTTGCACCAAAGAAGTCAGTTCCATAGCAGGGGAAGTGGAGTAACTAAATTTATCTTAAATCTAAATGATCTGCCATACTGTAGGAAGAAGACACTCACCAGAGGATCAACATCATGTTCATAAGGATCTCTTGTCAGTCGCAGCTGTTGGTAGCGGATGTGTTCAAGATTACGGTTGGTCTTGATGGCTTCAATCCAGAGAATAATGGCCGCCACTGGTGAATAAAGCCATCTTGTTAACTTATTTTTAACATTGACAAGACGCAAGGAATAAGTTATGAGAAGTCTCTATAGCTCAAACATCTGGGATCAGAGCATCTTGATATAAGTGAGATAATGTAGACTAGTGGTTGGAACAAAGTATTTCATCAATGGAAAAGACAATAATGAAGAAAACAATAATTCTACTAGTTAACACGTACCGTATGTAAAATACATAAAGCATTATGAAGCAACAGCCCTGAAATAATGAAAATTTTTAAAGAGGTAAAGTTAAGCAATAAAATCAAACCAAGAGAAATCCAACATACCAACAGCTATAGCAGCTCCAATGATGGCAATGTAAAAGGCCCAGTTTGGCTTGACAAAAGGTGTGATGTGAGGCTCAATGCGGTAAAACTGATCATATATAGGAATCATACGCCACACCTGATTTTTTTCATATTTGCAGCCAGTTGATTCGTAGGGGTTGCATGTGCTCATGCCAATGAGAATCCCAGCAAAAATAACAACAAACACCTCACAAAGAGCTGACGAGAAAAAGTGATAATATGTGTAATGTGTTAGTAGTAAAAACAAATCTATTTTAGCAATGTCCTTCATATTTACAACTATGAGTATTTTTTTCATTCTAAATTGTATTTTATTTAGCAGGCATTTAAACACAAGATGGACTGAATGATTTATTTTTCGGTGTTTTCTAAACAAGCCAGCCAATCCTTCAGGCCCAAATGATATCAAAAAGCTAAATTTCTTTTAATAATTAGATGCTGGTGATCACATACCTGCCATCGACGTGGCACCTGCAAGAATGATCAAAGCTGTTGCAGAGGCAAATCTCCTGACCATCAAAAGTATGCCCCCAAAGCAGCATCCCATAAGAACACAAGTCCCAAGAACTGAACAGACCTGAGCACTTTGAAGCACCTCTGGGATGAATAAAAATTGATTTCTGATTCAATACCTGCACAATGACTATCGCTGGATTAAAATTTATTCTTAAAATTTTCTGTTCTCAAAATTAATTAAATGAACTTTTTAATCAAAACAATAAACTCAATAAAAAAGAGTATTAAAAGCATTACCGGTATAAAAAAAATTGCAAAAATTTAATGCAGATTTTGTTTTCTGATAAAAATCTTTTTTCTCTATATGTAAACAATACATAAGTATTAAATAGAATAAGATAAGATTCTTTTTATTTATTTTAATTTAATGAAAATTTGTTTTTTTGTTTTTTATTACATTGTACATTATTCAGTTCAGCATACAGATAAACCAGTTTTCTAACAAGAGAACAGTTTAAAACTAGAGCAATTTAAACACAAGATATCTTAAAGAATTTCTCAAGCGTAAAAAATCAGCCATTGTGTACCATACAACTTCACCACCTCAGTGACAATAATGACTATATTAGTTAGCAGGAAAATTTTGAAGTAACTAAGATTGCCTTTTGGAATGTGCAACGGCATCAATAAGATTGATATGATGCAGCACTAGGTATTCACATATATATTTTGGGATTACCAATACCATATGTGAGGCCTGGACTAAGCAAAACATACAAAGACATAAATATAACATTTTACTTAATACTGTGTCTCTCCCCCCGCCACGATGATTTTTTTCATAGGCTTGCCCACACAGTTACTTAACATAAATAAAGCCATCTGGCAATCGTGGGATTGAGCAGAACCATGGATTAACCTTTACCAAACTTTGAAAAAATATAATTTTTAAGCTGATTTGAAAAGTTAGTTTATCAGTTACTTAGGTTAAAGTAAGTGAATGATTTTTAAAATATTAAGATTGGCTATTTATACTTCAATATGAAAATAAAACTCTTTTTTTCTTCTGATATACACAATAGATCTATAAATATGTAAACATGTTTCTGCATTCCAATAGTACTGGAATAACTACATTTTTCTTATACATGGAAAAAAATTACAAACATTTTCTAGAGACTCATTTAGTAATATACAAGATATTCCCAGAATATATAGATTAAATATTTTCAACTCCAGGTTAGAAAGCCCTGACGCCAATGCAAGAGTTGATGCTTCTTACTTGGTACAACCTCACGGTTGGTAGAGAACTTGTTGAGAAAAAGACTGTTGTCCATATGTGTTTCCCTCATGAAGAACAGACCAGAATCAATGGTCAGCTCACGCTTGACTGGCTCAGAACCAAAAGTGCCATCGTTTGGATCAAGAACCAATTGAAACCAGAATGGTGCAATGATCATGCCGATGATGACCAGGAGGGACACAATCAGCAACAAGACACTCACTGCTAAAATCTTGGAGTCCAGCATAAACCTGAGGGAGGCACATTTTTTTATTGTTGAAAGAAACGATGTAAAAAGATATATTTAGGCTTGAAAAGAAGAGACGTAACAATTAAAAAAGATATAATATCCTTTAATAATTCATTTGGCTCATTGTTTCCCCACAGAAGAGTGGGAGAAGAAATCTGCTGACAGTATAAAAAGAACTTCCAAATTTAAAAATTTTAAAATGAAATGGGTAACAATGTTACATAAGTAACAAAACATCTTTTTTTTAAATTCACTTTTTCTGAAGAGGGAAAATGACAAAACATACCTGCATGTTAAAGAGGAACATGCTGCACAGATGAAAGGGTAGTCGATTTTGGGGGGTGGTGGCTTGTAGATGTAGGGGTTGTTGTAAACCGATGCCGACATCTTCCTCGATTAGAAGAGATGTCTCTCTGCGCTCTTGACAGATATAATGAATTACTCACTCAGTCACTGGCTACATACTACTTTCAATTTGTCAAGCCTAATTTTTGTGTAATGCAAGAATCAAGAAGAGAAATAGAAATTCAATCCATTGATTGAAAATTTCAATCTTCCAACTTATTCCAAGCATTTATTTTTTTTATTTTTTTTTTTTAGTTTTCAAATTTCAAGTCATCTTCATGACGATTTTGTTGAAAAGACTTGAAATTGAAAAGAAATTAGTTATTTCTTTTTTTTTTTTTTTTTTAGTTTTCAAATTTTAAGTCATTTTCTTGATGATTTTGTTGTTTTTTTATTTTTTTTTTTTAATTTTCAAATTTCAAGTCATCTTCAAGACGATTTTATTTAAAAAACTTGAAATTGAAAAGAAATTAATTATTTCTTTTTATTTTTTTTTTTTAGTTTTCAAATTTCAAGTCATCTTCATGATGATTTTGTTGAAAAGACTTGAAATTGAAAAGAAATTAGTTATTTCTTTTTACTTTTTTTTTTTAATTAAAAGATTAATTTAAAACGACGAATGTGTGTGGCAGTCACAATTATCACAGTACTTTCGTTTCATTCTTCATTCATGCATAACATTCAGTCACACAAATCTCACTCATTTGATTAAAATTAAAACTGACACTGGTCACTGACAGACTCAGACTGTGACTGAGTGTAGAGACCCAGTCTGAATATGAAAAGATATTTTAAAGTATGTAGAAAAACAACTCTTCTTTAAATAAATGATAAAGCATTTGGAATAATTTAGCCATTCAAAATAATTTCAAATTTTTCAGATATAAATATTAACATACCAAGAATACTAAATCTGGTAAAATATTTCACTTTATTCAATCACAACTCTAAGCCACCGCCATTTTAATGCGGAAGTCATACCTGCAAAAGGTAAAGAGGCACCTGAAGGTAGGTCGATAGGGGAGACTACAAAGAGGATACAAAAGGAGAGCTCTCGTAAAATTAAGATACACAAATACACATTACTTCGTTTAAGTGAGAAGATTATTAAAAGCACTGCATTAAACAACATGGCAGAAAAATCATTAAACACTTTACCTCTATCCAGAGTAAAAACTATAATGAAAAGTTCTCCTGAAGTTTCAAGTATTAGTCAAGAAGCCCTCCACTTAACAGGAAAGGCTACGGTAAACGTGTATTATTTCTTAAGCTTATTATAATACGATGTTACAATGTTTAATAGTTAAACTAATTAAATTTAACTACTTTACTACTTAACTAAGTCTCATAACTACTACACTTGGACTCTTAGTACTTAGTTAGACTGGCTTAGTTTAGTGACTTAGTGCTAAGGCAGGGGCCGGGAACCTTTTTGTCTGAGAGAGCCATGGACACCACATATTTTGAAAAGTAATTCTGTGAGAGCCATTCATACATTATTGGCCGGCACTACGTACACCGCGGCGGTGTACCTAGCGAAACTATTGACTTTGGCCTGCGTACACCGCGGCGGTGTACCTAGCTAAATCATGGTCTGTGGCCTGCGTACACCGCAGAGATTTAAAGTAGCAAAACTATGGTCTTTGCGAGTCTTTAACTTTTTTGGCCTAACCAGTAGGCCTACTTGTAGATTTAATGTTATACTAGTGTTAAAACTGAAAACTATTTATTTAAAATTCGTTTATTACCTTGGGAAGATATTGAGTAAAATCCACGCTTATGTGGCAAAGTGCATGTAAAGCATTTCTTCTTATTTTTGGAAGGGAGGGGGCTGGGGGGGTGTAATGTTAAACCATGATTTATTTTTAAAGTTAACCACTTTATTCCCCCCTCCCCCAATATCTTGAAATACAAATATATTTATTAATTGTAAGTTTTATCATATGATTGTGAATCTTAATTTGAAATTATTCTCTCATGCCCACCCCCCCCCCGTTGTTTGTTGTTGTTGTTTTTTTTTTGTTTTTTTTTTGGGGGGGGCATTATAAATATAACATTGTATGTGATCCCTCGGGCATGGTGTAAAAATGAATTGGAAGACAGTGAATCTATTTTGTTAGCACCAAGATATAATTACGCCACAAATACACTACGGGAAGAGAATCACATACTCATACATTGATCATGAAGTCGTGAAGTTAAAGTAGTCCGAGGCATTGTCATTGTGACACCAAGCATGTGTCAACACAAAACAGCAGTAAGATGATCAATACGAAACACTGCAGTTATTTGAAAGTCTTTTAACAATAATTAAAAATCATTGATTTAGTTTTACATTGGCATTACACATTAGTAAAAAAAATGCAGGCAGAGGGAGGGGGGATGCAAAAGGTAAGTTGGTTGTGCGGACGTCCTTTGTGGACAACCCCTATCCTGAGCCGTGATTTGTGAATGCCCTCTTTTTGGTTAAGCCTCTGCCCATAACTCACCACCACCCCCCACTCCCCGGCAAGGATCGATTTCTTTAAAAAAAAAAACAACAACAAATACAAAAACTTTGACATAGTGCAAATCCTGTCCCAGGCGCATTGTGCAATGGTTTCTGTGAGAAAACGTCGCGTTTTACCCTGAGAATAGCACATGCCATGCCATTCTGGAAACAAATTCCGTCATGAAAAGGGTAAACGCAGACCTATGGCTTTGCTATACAGTTTGCTAGCGCTCCGCAAGTTTCTAAAATCGAGGTGTTTTCAAAAGATTTGCTGTGAGACTGAGTGTTGTGAATGAACCTTTAATATCGTATGTACATTTTGCCAATGCATAAGGCATAGTGAAAGCAAGATGGCTGAAATACGACCATGCACATTAATGACATTAATATTCATATGCATGAATATTATTCATACTGGTATTTTCTTTGGGTGTTCGTAAAAGTAAAATGTAAATATTCAAGTACACGAAGAATGTTGAAATACAATAGAATATCAGTCACTTAGTATTCATAATGTTTCTGTTATACATGATCATCATGTATTACATGCGCTTTCAGAAACATTTGTTTTCAAATGTCTAAAGTCTTATTACTAAAGTTATCGGTATTTTCAAAGTCAAAGGCCGGTACAACTTGTTGAAACACTGACTTATATATATAAATAAATATATAAAGTGTTTCTAATATAATATTTAAACATATATTTAAATTGTTAAAATTGCTACAAAATATTTTAAAACTAAAATGGGAGGAAAAAAACTCGATCCCCTACTGAGAATTGATCTCAAACTATATTATCGCCAAGCGTCCACTCTACCACTTGACCACACAAGATCTTCTCTAACAAGTATATCTTAAAACCAGGCCAATGGTAAATTTTTGCCGCGGTGTACCCAGGCCAAAGCCCACGATTTCACTAGGTACACCGCCGCGGTTTACGCAGGCCAAAGCCGATGGTTTCGCTAGGTACACCGCCGCGGTGTACGCATCCACTTCGTACATTATTATGTTTAAAACTTTAAAAATAAAAGTAAATGTGTGTAATTTCAAAACTAAAAATGCAATAATTATGTATCTGAATTCTTTTTAATAACATTATTATGCTGTTGCTAATCAATAATGAGTATTTCTTACCATTAATGCAACTTTTTTTTATAATCGAACATTTGTCTGCGAGCCAGATGCAGCCATCAATAGAGCCATATCTGGCTCGCGAGCCATAGGTTCCTGACCCCTGTCCTAAGGACTTTATTTGTAAAGTTTATCAATTTCATTTTTCTGGATTTTATAAAAAGTGGTGTTATGTTGTTTCTTTCGGTAATATTTTAAACCCCCCCCCCCTTCCTTTTTTACCTTTGGTAATGTCTACACGTCCGGAGCGCAATCTGCACTATTTGTCCGGCGACCAATTCACATGACCGCCGGAAGAATACTTTATCGAGATATTCGTCCGGCGACCAAGTCACATGACCGCCGTAACAAAGTGGCGAGAGATATTTGTCCGTCAGCCTTGTCACGTGACCGTGAATGATTCAAAACTATTGTTAATCTTAAAATCTATTTCTCTACCAAGCAATGTACTGAGTATCTTGCAAACAAATAACCAAAAAAAATACTTGGGTATATTACCAAAACAAAGTGGGGGTTAAGTAATTATGCATTCTGGAAGGAAGCACTGCTGAGAGGGAGGGAATTACAGTAATAAAAAATATGAATGCTAAAAAAATAATAGTGAGGGTGATAAATAATTAAGTTTAATGGCGGGGGGGGGGGGAGCCGATAGTTTAAAAAAAAATAGACCTACATTTTAACATATACTGAAATTAAAAAAGGGGATGATAGTTTTTATAAAGTAAAATGTTGTGGGTTTTTTTTTTTGGTACTTTCTACAATTACAGTGGAATAGCACTATTGTCAAGTTTTAAAATGTATTATATTTGGAAATCTTTAATTTTTTGTTGAAAGCTAAGATGTGTTATTTTAAAATTTAAACTTACCGTATTTTTCGGCGTATAAGACGACTTTTTAACCCATGAAAATCTTTTCAAAAGTCGGAGGTCGTCTTATACGCCCGGTGTCGTCTTATGAGCTGGTATACAACCCAAACCCTAGATTTTAACAGGAAAATACGGTACGTTAAATTCTGCTATATCAACTATTGAATATTTCTTGTGCAGGAGTAAACAAATACATTGCAGCTGAGTGATATGTGCCTGGAAATGTTTAACTCGTACCTAAAATTTCTTAATTTTGATTCATGGGTTTTTTTTAGCCTGTATTCGCATAAGCTTCTAAATTACATTCAGTTTTGTCTATCAGTGATAAGTTTATTTATTACAAAATTTACATGGATCATCACTAACTGCAATCTGTTTCCAGCAAACAATTAATAAAATAATAGTCACATAAGGCATGAGCCCTTGGTAATTTTGTTAATATTTATCTTCAGGAATTATTTATTCAGGCACTGGCTAAATTCTCCTACCAACAGAGCAGCAGCAAATCATCACTACAATATAAAGACCTGGCGGAAATTGTTAATTCAGAGGATACTTTGCAGTTTCTACATGGTAACCAACCATTTATTGTCTTGAGATATGAAATGTTTTAATTTTTTTCTTTAAATAGTAGAGCCAGGTATGTGAAAGCTTGAATCAAAAGACAGGACAGTAAGATGTGAACGTTTTAACTAAGAGCCTTCCTCAGCAAACCAGACAAAGTATAATACGACAAGAAACAGAGCACTTGCATTTTTAACTGTGCACTGTTTCTTGTCGTATTTTCATTTGAATGTAGTCCTTCATTTATTATCTAATTATTTTCATGTGAAAGTCTGATGTACATTGAGATACATATTATTTAATCTATGTTCTTCTTATTTACCTAATTTAATTGAAATAAATAATATATTTACCAACAATTTTTTTTAAGAACTGAGATTAGGAATATTTGACAATGGCAATCTGTAAACTCTCAAAGTAATTTATGCTAACTGGTTATCAATTTTTTTATTTGATATGATTGTGTTACTTACATGGGCTCTTAAACTTCTTTGTTCCATGTCTTTTCTGGTCAGATTAAGGCTACAGACCCCTTCTTAGAGAAGTGTTTTTACATACCGGGTACATAAAATTGCAAAAAAAAAATGCAGAAAATGGAACTTCTAACAGCATTTCATGGAGCCCTGTAATAACTCCTTAAAATTGGTAATTGTTCGACTATCTGAAAACTCAAACCTATTGCATGTGGATGGCTACAAAAACCCTGGGATTATTCATTTTTTATTTTACAGATATTGTTCCAAGGAAAATCAAGGCGAAACAGTACCTAAAAATGTTGAGAGAGCAAGATGAGGATGACTGAACTGTAATTACTTGTGAATATTGTGTAGGAATTGTATGGCTATGAATGATATATTAGAAGTACTTGCAAATGGAAAAAAGGAATGTATTTTTTTTCTGACCGAGGTAAATGATTTGTAAGAAAGAACATGCAAGATTATATATTTCATTGCATATGTTAAGAAAATTGATTCTTGAACAGTTTACGCTGAAAAGAACCTGCAACTTTTAAAATTCTTTACCCCCCCACCCCCCGAAAATTTAGAGAATAAACAAAAACTATTTAATGCAGTGCAGATTAGAAATTCATGTAATTGAGGACAAACACTCCTAGAGTGACTCCTAATTCCTTTGTTGAAGACATTAAACAGAAGATAGGAAATTTTACTGAAAAATAACACAAATAATAAAAATAAATTCCAGCTTTAATAGTCCTATAATTTGACACCTTTGACCTCATTTCATAAGATGCATACAGATTTAAAAACAGGTTCATTTTTATACTGTACTTGTTATTTGTTGAATAATGTAAATAAAAAAGGGGAAAAAATCAAGCATTGGGTATTTTAACTTTTATCATTCATATTTTATCTTCTTTCATCTGATGCTCACAAATGATAAGTAAACTCTTGTTAATTGGAGGTAATCTTGACCAATTAACAACATAATACAGAGATTCTCAAACTTCGAACATGTACCTTTGGTGGTAGTAATACATAAGATTGCTCAGGTGCTACAATGAATATAACGTAACAAAAATTAGTTTAACAAAAAGACAAATGAGTAATATGCTGTAAATTAACTTTTGGCCATTGACGTAAGTGGTACAACATTCCATAAAGTTTGAGAGCACCTGATACAACCCCACATTAAAAAATCACCACTCACACACAGCTTTGTATCAAGCTCTGCTTTCAAATTAACATACATTCTAGTGGATGACAGTAACATGCAAAGTACATATTAAACGTAGCACATTTGTCAATCCTTTCCTGTGTGTTTAAAGAAATATCTTCGGATGGTTAATTGACCCACTACCCATCATCTTATTGAACTGAAACTTGGGACATAGACTCGTAACCATTACAATTAGACTTGTAACCATTACAAACCCATTCAATAAACAACCCCCCTCACCCCACAGTTTTTCTTGTTATTCAAGGGAAGATAAATGATAAATGCAATATGATTTGTTCAATGGATTTGTGCTTTGGTTTGGAGATTGTGTAGCCGTTGCTATGCGCTTGGTAATTGTGTCATATTTGGGTAAGCAGTAAAAATAAAATGTGTTTTTGAATGGGAAAATGAAGGAAATAAGAAGTGTGAATTCACCAGAAGTTTACCCATTTACATAACCGCTTCTTAATACTTTATAAATCACGTGCAATTACTTAAGTGCAAAAAAAAAAAAAAAAAAATACATGAAAAGAATTTAAAAAAAAAAATAAGGAAATAAGAAGTGTGAATTCACCAGAAGTTTACCCATTTACATAACCGCTTCTTAATACTTTATAAATCACGTGCAATTACTTAAGTGCAAAAAAAAAAAAAAAATTCTTGTAAAGGATTTAAAAAAAAAAACATTGTTTTCATTGGTTGTTTCATTAAAGATGTTTTGATTCCCCAAACAGAAGGATGTAGTAAAATGTTTAAAATATCACAAAACTAAATGAGCAGAAGACTTAACTTTAAACAACTGCTATTTTTAAAACAGTAATTGTATTCTGAAAAGAGAGCTATTCCCTAGTGCAAGCTCCATAAAACTTATTTAATGTACACATGAATTTATTGAACGAGTAAAGATGAGCATTATCAATTTTAACAAAACTATGTGAAGATTCAAGTACAGTTCAGGTAACTTAGTGAGAATCCCTAGAAACACATCTAGGGGGTGCTGTAAATTTAAAAAAATTTTAGCATCCATTCAATAATAATATTAATAGTAATTACCATAAAATTATCATATCCATGATGTAGAAAAAAAAAATTCTTTCAATAGATTGAAGCTGTTTTTACAATCATTAATCTTATTAAATCATATACTAATTTATGATTTCTAACATAAGTTGTTTTTTTCTTAATTTTTGATTTCTAACATTAGGGTTTTGTTGATTACATCGATTTTATAATATATTAATTTTTAATTTAAAGAAAAAGGTGTACTTCAATTTTAATTCATTGCAAAAATTATCATTACCCTACTGTTATTCTATGTCTATGCAGTTATATCTGGTTTAATAAATACAACTGCTTCTGTAGACACCATGAATTCTTTGACAATTTCTACATTAGTTCATAATGAAGTCAGTTGTATCTTGTTGCTACAACAGCACGGTATTATACATGCTGTCAGACGATGTGCTAACAACCACAAAGTTAACGGAATGCCAATACTCAACGCATCGAACAAACATGGAAATTGGCAAAAGAGAGAAACAATGGCACACACAGACATATGCTCGATTCTTATATGTGTGGGTTCATTTTGTGTCGACGTGTTAAAGCAAATGGTTTGAATGTATTCAATGCCATTCTAGATGATATTGTTCAAATTTGGCCACCACAGTGGCAGAAGACTTTAAAAGAAGTAAATATGTTTTAATGCAAAAGGACATTTGTTTTATTGGAAGTGTGAAGTGTTTTAATGGAAATGTGAAATAATGTGCATTAATTTTTGCGTTGAATTAAACATTTTTATTCAAAAGAACATTTTTTTTATAGGAAGTGTGAATAATAATAATTTTTGCGGTTAATTAAAATTGAAGTACCGAAAAAGGGACAGAATTTTTGTAAATTAACTTTTTTTTAAACATTTTTTTCTCTATTCTTTTAAAACAGATTTTATGCCTAAATCATTTCTGATTAGTTTAAAATAAGAAATTTTTCAAATAATGTAAGAAAATATTTGTAAAATATACATTTATCTTTTAAATATCAAAGCTAGAAGTGCGTAATAGAAAGAAGAGAAAAAATGGAAATGTTTTAAAAACTGTAGCTTTCCATCTACCATGAAACTTTGTTTCAATCCACTTCCTTTATGTACAGTACTAGAATTGTAAAAGCTGTGATTTTCACTACTGGGTCAAATGAGGTGAGAGTTTATAAATTATTTATAGGTGAAATATAATTTGTGACACTGATCACTGATAATATAATTTGAAATTTGTATAAATTTTATTTTATCAAGTTAAGAACAAAAAACTCTTAAAAGTTGAAATTGTTAGAGAGAAGAAAAAAAAAGACAACTGTCTTGGTCCTAATATGACTAGTGTTAAAATTCTTTAAAAAAATAATTATAATTAATGTGTCAGTCGGCACAATATTTTGTACCTGTATTTGGTTGTAATATGCTTCTATGTTCATCCCAGATGCCTACCACTGACTACCACATGTAAATATTTTTTAAAACTCTGAATCTCATCAAAATTAAAACACTGCAGAGTGATCTTAAAGTTTTTTAATAAGCAATATACTACAAGTTCAAGCAAACCTCTTGTCAATTTTGTTACAATTATATATAATTTTACATGAATACATATATTTTATTCATGTGGAAGACTTTAAAATGTCTGAAAGATTCTCAAAATTTTGTTTGGGAAAAACTGCAGAAACCACTAATCGTAGCTTAAATATTTAATATTTTAATTTTGAACAACTTTACCAGCTGCTTGAAAGAAATCAACATTCAAAAAATACACCTGTAAAGGTGCATATTGAAGGGTTGTTGTGATCACATGATTGCCACTGATACTGTTCACAATTTAACTTCATTACATATAAATTTATATATGTTTAAAAAAAATTACACATTTTTAAAACAACAGGAATGCAAGCTGGAAGATTTTATAGAGAGTTGGAGCTGAAAAATCTATTTTTAAAACAAACTCTTTTGCATCTCGGTTGGAGACTTTTTACCTCAAGTGGCACACATTATTGAAACAGTTAAAAATGATTTTTGCATGAATATTGCCTCTTTTTTTTATAAAAAAGGTTTAAGATATTCTACATTAGAGAGCAAGTAACTGGTTTGGCTCTTTAAAGTAACATTTCAAGCATTATTAGACATTGCACATAGACCCAATCAACATTGGTAGAGATCATAGATTTTTAGATATACATATTAGGGGTGGGTAAACCTGTTGTAGCTACGAGCAAGATTAAAGAGGTAAGAGAGGCATGGGAGCGATAAATGGTGAAAGTATGGAATTTATTGCTTCACCAGAACAACAAAACAACCCCTAACAGTAGTTACGTCTCAGGTCAGAAATCCTTTTTTTTTTGGGCCTCTTTCCAATTTATATGATTATTTAATTTTTTTTTTTTTTTAAAGGAAGCGTGGCCCATTCAAAATGGAGGAGCGAGCCCGAATTGGCCAGTGAGGCACAATTGGCTCGCAAGCCATAGTTTTTCCAAACCTGCACTAAATAGTGTCTCCCCACTTCCCCTAGCTAGCACCATAATTTTAATGTACATAATGCATAAAAATAGTGCTCAGTTGTAATCTTTAAAGAAAGAAATATTTCTACAATTTAAGAATCATTGAGCCAAGTAGCATTTATTTAACATCAGAGAAGGGTTTCCTTAACAAGTGTAAATGTATAATATCATACAATTGATTTGTAAATATAAAAATGAGAATATATATATATGTATATATATATTAATCTGTCCAAGGAGGATAAGTCTTAAATACAGATATAATAAGAACATTACAAGAACATTTCAGTCCATTCTTTAACTTGAACAAAAAACAATGTATGTTACATTTCTTCACCAACATTAATAACAACCAAGCATATCAAAATAAAAAAAACAAAAGGTGCGGATCAAATAAATAGGTTATAATTATACTACAAAGTTATTTGATGTGTGCCAATGCTATATGACTATGTGACTTTTTGCATTTTTGGGTGCAATAATATATTGAAGGTATGTAATTTTCTTAAATTTAATTTTTAAGATTTAAAAGTATGTGGTAAAATCAAAATATGCAGCTTTGTTGCTTAAGTTTGTGAACACCGCCAAGGTGTATGACAGGAAATATTGGTGGATTTAAATCAGACCAACAAGTCAGACTTTTTTCATCACTCCATTAATTTTATAAAAAAATTAAGTAGGAGGACAATTATATTTTTTTAAAGGATTTTTGTAAGGCCATAAAGTTTAACATCAACACATAGTCATACATTTGAAAACTAAAAAAATAGTTTTATAGTTTCACACCAACAAATAGTTAATTACTTAAACACTAACAAATTTATATAATCATAAAAATCCTTTCAAGCAAACCCCCACAAAAAAGGCTTTCCCTGCAATAACACTAACAAATTATAGTTATTAACTCCAGGTAAACAAATTATAGTTATTAACTCCAGGTAAATTTATCATTTTTAAGCAGCCTTGCCAACTCCAGACCGCAAGGGTCAAGCAAAGAGTGTAAAATTTCTCTGGTAGCATTTCTCATTGGCCCAGCTATTTTCCTTTGTACTGTCACCCGGGACCTCTCCTCTTCTGTTATTTCTTGCAGTACATTTTCTCTCAGTGGACCTGGCCATACAAAGAAATATCGAGACCGTTAAGATTTTTATCATGGCATGAGGGCAAAAGAACCACAAAACAGAACAGGAGTGTATCCATAAAAAGCATTTTACCTTATTACCATCTCCCCTCACCTGACAGTTGCTCCTGTGTGATTGTGATACCTTAATTATCAATTTTTCAAAATGAAATTTTGGCTAAATGGTGTTGGTAATAAATCATAAAGAGCGCAGCTTCATTTCATTCCACAACAACAAAAATAAAATATTAAAAACTGTAACTTTATTTTAAAACAGCTTTGCAGTGAGGCTGATACAGATTTGAGCTGCTTTACAACAAGGCTGATACAGATTTGAGTTGCTTTACAGTGATGCTGATACAGATTTGAGCTGCTTTACAGTGATGCTGATACTGATTTGAGCTGCTTTACAACGAGGCTGATACAGATTTGAGCTGCTTTACAACAAGGCTGACACAGATTTGAGCTGCTTTACAGTGATGCTGATACAGATTTGAGCTACTTTATAGCAAGGCTGATACAGATTTGAGCTGCTATACAGTGGGACTGATACAGATTTCAGCTGCTTTACAGTGAGGCTGATACAGCTATTTTAAAAAGGAAAGTTTCAGCTCTGGTTTGAGCTTATCTGAGAAATCATGCTTAAAATTAAAAGCTAAATGAAAAGAACAGTACCCAGTCCAAGAAATGCCATGACCTCTTTTAGTGTTGCCTCAGAGTCTTCATCATATTCCTCTGTTTTAATTAGGAGGAAATTCTCTTTAGGGAAAACCTGCAGCCACTCTCGCATGAAAACGGAATAACAGGCAAAGGGGAGACGAACCTGCAGGGTGAACAAATAGTTTTAATCATCTCCGGTTAAGAGCTGGGCTTCTATTACTAGAAGTTCTGTAAAAAAAAAAACTTTCAAAAAGTTTAATTTAAAAAAAGAAATCTGTAAAAGGTAAAAGCTCAGCTATGTGTATCACGCAAGAAGATTCTCGATTTTTTAATAAAATTCAATGTTAGTCAACAAATGTTTATCAACCTGTAGCACAAAAGGCACTGGTTAACAAGTTAAATATAAAAAAATTTCAATGAACATTATGCTCTACTTGGTATACAAGAAAATATGAAGCACTTAATAATGAAGGCTTGAGAAAAGACCCCCCAAAAACACACTCAGCCAAAGCCTTCTTCAATGAACACACTTAAAAATGTAGAGACAAAAGTTAAAGATATTTAGCACAAAGAAAGTTACTTGGAGGCTGTATTGTAAGGAAATATTTGTGCATACTCTGAACAGTGTGTAAAGTTATTTTTATTACATTTACTGTCCTCGAACTGTCCTCTACCCAAACTGTGTCGGCCGATAAAAACAGCCGATAAAAAATGTGTTGAAAGAATAAGTTCCAGTCCAATATTTTACACCAAATAAAACTACTTCCTTTCATTAATAAATGAACTTCCATTTTTCGCTCTTCCGTGTCCTTTTTTTAAACTTTGCAGTTATTTTTACAACGATCTTTATCAAGCAAATTTTTGTCAGATTTTCGCGAAGTGGATGAGGCCATAGCTGGACCATCTGGCTTACAAAATAAATTAGTTAGGAATCTTTGTGACAATTCTTATTAGTTAATGACTAAAGTGATTCGGAAGATGATTTTCCGATCACACACGAAAACAATGATAATTCCGATTATTTTTCTTGTGGGCCAGAAAGCAAAAGTTCGGACGATTTAGACCTAGGCCAAGAACGAGTAGGCGATGCCGCAAGAACAGGACTCGTTAAAACTATGTTGCAGATGATTTTGTACCAACAAAAAATAATTGGATGTTGTTCTATATATGTTTTCTTATATTTCATTTCTTATATTTCATTTTATGGATTAAATATTTATATAATAGCTTTTTTAAATTTTATATTTTTCTTGCTTTTTAGTAATGTTTACATTGTTTATGTCATGCTTTGTAGCTTGAACGTGATTATAGGTATCAGAAGAATTTATTTTTATTTATTTAAATCTATTAATAACTAAAACATATACAAATAATACATTTTCTGAAAGATAAATAAAAATACTATCATATTATATAAATATTATAATAATATGCCTTCAAAGAGATTGTAGTTTGAAGTACTTGAAAAGAAAAATTTTCTTTATTTTCTGCAAGGTCACGGTCAGTGAGTCTAAAATATCATTTAAAAATAGCCAGTATGATTCCCCACCCAGTTTACTTTCAATAAATATATACTTTATGGGGTCTAGCTATAGTATTTACATGTGAAAAATCACATTTTTCAAAGGCACCCAGAGAGCTCTGCACAGTACAGAAACATACAATGGACAGTTAGTGGGTTAATAAAACACCTTTTTTCTTAGAAATAATATAAGGAAGCTATTTCCCTTGGAAAAATCTGAGCAATCAACATCTCTCTGTCTTTAGGGCTTCAAATCTTTAAACCCATTAGTAACAGAATAAAAAGCAGGAAAGGTTTTTTTCATAGTGTGAGCGTCCCATTTCTCTAACTCTAAATGCATTATGATATCCCTCATCTTAGTCTCCCCAATTTTATCCATTACTATTACAATAACTATATCTGAAAAGAAATTATAAACATCTCATCATATTGGGGCAGTGACAAGTGTAAGTATAGAACCACTCACTGGCAGCTTGATATACAGACGGTGGTCATAAAAACAGCTAACCAGGCCGAACCGTTTGACGCAGGAGTGCACCAAGTTGATGGAAGCCAGGACATCATTATGGAAGTCCAGTGAGGTGAGACCGCCTCCGACAAAAAAGTAGTCAGAGTACAATCTGGGGAGACAATCAGTAAACAAAGGTATAGTTTTACATAATAAAATAATTTGAGATTTACATTTATCTACCACCTTTCATTTAGTAATCAGAAACACACCAAGAAGTCATCATGCAAATGTTTAAAAAATGTGACTTTTTTTCTTCATATAACTAAATTAGAGCTATTTTATTTGATAAACCTTGAACTTTTAAGATTTAGTTCTGGAATAAATAAAACCATAACATAGGTGATGATGTAACCATTAATCCCCCCCCCCCCCATTTAAATACCTCACCTTTCTATCGGGTCCCTAAACATTAAAATAAACTTTGGATTGGTGAAGAAATGTTTCTATTTAGTTCTCGAATAAATAAAACCATAACATAGGTGATGATGTAACCATTAATCCCCCCCCCCCATTTAAATACCTCACCTTTCTATCGGGTCCCTAAACATTAGAATAAACTTTGGATTGGTGTAGAAATGTTTCATCAGGTGAGGCGTGATGACCCTGGGAATATGGTGGTTGCGATTTTGACTGATGTTGGTCCAGCCTCTGAAGTCCCAGAAATCTGGCGGGGAAGCGTCACCTGTGTCAGTGGAGGGCAGTGAAAGCTTGATGATCATGGCAATGTCAGGATATGGCAATAAGAAGCTTACAGTTATCTTTCTTAGCCAAATTTTATAGTCATTTCATGGGAAAATATTTTTCTCCAATGCCATCAGCAGGAGCTTTGAATATTTCCCAAGTTATACACAGCTAAACTCTTCTTTATGTCAGCTACGGGTGTAAGGCAGCTACGGGTGTAAGGCAGCTACACTGTTGTAAGCTATACAACAACCAAACAGTTATAAAGTAATTAAACCATCATTAAATCACAAACCCATTATAAAATAGAAAGGCCAATCATCAAGGCACCAACCGGTTATAAAATAAAAAGGCCAATCATCAAGGCACCTACCGGTTATAAAATAAAAAGGCCAATCAATCAAGGCACCAAACGGTTATAAAATAAAAAGACCAATCATCAAGGCACCTACCGGTTATAAAATAAAAAGGCCAATCAATCAAGGCACCTACCGGTTATAAAATAAAAAGGCCAATCAATCAAGGCACCTACCGGTTATAAAATAAAAAGGCCAATCATCAATGCACTTATGGGTTATAAAGTACCGGTAACAAAGCAATCACTAGGAACTAACCTGTGATGAGTATTTGCTGTAATAAACTGTCACTTTCCACTGAAGCTTGTATCTGTCTGGCCGTATCCTGGAACAGGTCGACATATTCACTGAAGTTCATGACTTTATTGCGGTTGTAGCCGGAAATACCTGGCATAGGGGATATCTTAAGTCTTACTCTATGCTCTAGCTTTTAATAACATATAATCTTTAGACAGAGAAATCGGCAAATCTATTTAGACAGAGACATCAGGAAATCAATTTAGACGGAGGCATCGCCAAATATAAAGGTCTTAGCTGAACAAGTTAATTATGAATAGAGGAAGCCACAGCATGGACACACTGAGCATTGGCCGAGATGATAATTTGTCAGAAGTGTCTTAGCTTGCAGAGTGGCTCAGTATTTTGTTAATGCCGGCCTTGACTTTTTGGGTGAAAGCTTTCCCTTGTTGTGTAAGGTACCAGTAAAACATGCTTAGCTGCTAATCAGGACTAGCAAAAATTAAAACCATTATTAAATAATTAGAACTGGGACCTGGAGCTGGAAGGAAATGTCCACATGGAATAAATCCTGCACTCAATTAGTATTAATTTTGAAACATTTTAGAGTTTCAGGCACCCTAAATTATGTTATAATCAGATGTAGCCCACTTCAGTGGAAACAAAAACAATAAAAAAAAATCATTTCTCAAACAAACAGCTCTTCCAGTGTCTACATACCAGCCACATCTATACACAGACCAAAACAAAATACTCACTGCACACTGACCATATCTACACACAGAACACAACATTGCACACTGACCATATCTACACATAGAATAACAACACATCAGCCTCACCATATCTACGCCAGGACCACCACAAGCCCTCCTTGTGCAGCAGACCATCGTTTGAGACAACATGAGGATGAGACATGAGACGGTTCCAGAGATCTGTTGTCCCAGACTTGGCGCACCCCAAAATGTGAAAGTAGGGCAGGCAGTTGAGCTTGCGCACCTTGACCTCTCGAAACATCTCATCAGTGTACCAGCAGGGATTCTTTATGTGGCTTAAATAATTCGGCTTAGGCTGGGGAGATTGGCATCGTGACGTTAAACTGGCAGGAAGTTCTTATTAGCGGGTCATTTCAAGATTGTATTTAAATATATTCAAAGATATATTCTCCCTTATACTACAATCAGGGCCCTGACAAGCAAAATATTCATCAGAGACACAGCCTGAATTTAGGAACCAGAGACAAAGCCTGAATTTAGGCACCCTCTTACTCAAAAAATATATATTAATATCAATATTTTGCATGAAAAATTATGATTTTAGCCCCCTCCTGAAGGTGGGGGCAGATGCTCCTTTGCTCCCCTTTCACACTATCCTGCAACACATGATTTTCTCCCACTTTCAATATGTCCTCTGGTCCCTCTAACTTACAATGCAAAAGATGTCCTCTACTTCCCCTTCCTTCAAATCTCCGACACACATCGGGGGATCCTGGAGTTTTGGTAACATAGTTTTCTCACTCAGCATGGCCTCAGTCAGCTCCTTGATCTGCCTCATGAGCACCTGGGTGGATAGGATGAGCTGAGATTAGGACCAAGTTAGGACATCCCTATTAGCCCTTGAATGGACCCAATTATGAGGACCTTTGTTAACTACCATTATTAGAGTTAGACATTCAGCGTGTGGCTGAAGTGATTAAGGGTGAAAGGGTGTGTGTTTGTTTCTCGTTGTGACATTCAAGCAACACTAGAGTGGAAGAACTGAATCCAACCCTAGCTTAGAACGTACATTCCACTTGGCTCATCTGTGTAACAACAAGGGTATTTTCCCGGTGAACTAATTTACCTCAGTGGATGTTCACCAATACCTTTCAGCCCTTCTTCGTCTCTACTCCTTCTGTCGTTCGATTCTAATCTCCTCTAATCAGTTATTCCAAGCCACAAATATGCAAACACACCAATTTCATTGCTATCACACAACTTTCGGTCAATCAGCTACACTCGTCCCGGTGGCAAGGTGTGTCACCCACACAGTCAACTGAACACAGCTCGCTTGCTCTAATAATAAGTTCAATAATAATTTCAAGGAGTAACAATAACCAATGGACACTCCTTGTCTCCCAATATAATAACTCATGATTTTAAGGACCTGGACAGCCTTGATAAAATAAGATTATATTTTTGCCTGGCCAGCATTGTTTTCAGGGCTGTGATTCAATTTTAGTCCACATTATTATTTAATAGAGGGAGTGGACCTCTCCCCTACCCCACCCCACCCCCATGCCCAACTGCCTGACAGGACATAATATGAACTGACCTCTGATTGGACAGCTGGCTTTCCTGAACTGGGGTCATCTGGGGTCATCTTGGCCATCAGGTTGATCACATCAGAAACTTGTCTCCAGCTGACTGTCCCCTCCACTCCACTCTCATTCTGAGCCTCGGCTTTTTCCTCCCACCGCCGCCGTGGCTTTGGGATTTTCACGTCCGTAGATGAAAATGCGTTTCTTCGTCCAGACCTTTGAGTCAAAACAACAAGACAGATTGTGAGGATTCTGTAAGTCCCATCAATTATGACAAATTATTAGAACAGAATTTTTAAAATAAATGTTGATTTCATGGTTAAAATGGCAAACCATGGGCTGAAAACACATGTTATTTTTAACGCTTTCTTATGTTATCAACGTTGAATTATTTACATTAACTGGTCACTGGTCAGCACAGTAAAAAAAAAAGGCAAAAAAAACCCCCAAAAACGTGATACAAATTTGTTTAGCAACAAAAGAATAACAATTATTGATAACAAAAGAATAACAGTTACTTGTAACAAAAGAAAAACAGTTACTTGTAACAAAAGAAAAACAGTTACTTGTAACAAAAGAAAAACAGTTACTTGTAACAAAATATCAACAGTTACTTACTTTAACAAATATCAACAGTTACTTGTAACAAAATAGAAACAATTATTTGTAACAAAAGAATAACAATTATTGGTAACTCCCATGAGAAATAATACATAATATATTTCCTGTTTATGTTTTAAACATTACAATAAACATCCTGGAGGTGGGAGATAAACTCACGTACCCCTTGATTCACATCAGTTTAACAATCACTATATGGAGTGTCTGACACTCATAATTACCGGTGTATATGTGGCTGACAAGCCACTTATTGTTTCCCACAAATCAGCTTCACCACCACTATACAAAGTGGCGGGTAGCAGTTACTTCCAATGGGGGGGGTGGTTTGTGAGAAGAAAAAAAGCTTTTATCGTTTATTATCGTTAGGCTGGGACTGAACTCCAACCTTCTATACTATAATGGAACAGGACTTGTTATGAATGTACAGCAACCCTGCCACTCGATTGAACTGTGAATTTTAAGAATTAAAACCAATATCTAAATTGTAAGACTAAGAGTACCAATACCGGTATTCATATTGTGAATAATCACAGGATCTCATATTTTGATTTTCTAAAAAAAAATGTGAAGAATTGGTGAAGAATGTGAGTATTGGTGAAATTGTAATAGTTTGTTATCAATATTACTATTGAATAGTCAAAAATGTTTAAACAATTTAACATTTTTGTGTATTACATCAACTACTAATGTTCATAATGAACTCATGGATTAAACACACCAATACTGTGACTGACATTGACCCACACACTGAATTAACCAAGTCCAGGGTCGGGGGGGGGGGAGACTGCCACCACTCAAGGGGGATAGCTGCCCTGGATTTTCATCACTATATAACGTTTATTTTACACCCCCCCCCCACCCCCCCCTGTATGTAGGATAGACATGACACTGACCCCCTTGTATCAGTTCCACCACTAGAGTACAAAATTGCAACTCTGTGTTACCTTTGCTTGCATGACCATCCACACACTGAATTAACCAAGTCCAGGGTCGGGGGGGGGGGAGACTGCCACCACTCAAGGGGGATAGCTGCCCTGGATTTTCATCACTATATAACGTTTATTTTACACCCCCCCCCCACACACACCTGTATGTAGGATAGACATGACACTGACCACCTTGTATCAGTTCCACCACTAGAGTACAAAATTGCAACTCTGTGTTACCGTTGCTTGCATGACCAGGCACAGTCCTATCTCAAAGCGCTACTGACGCCTTATGTACCCACTAGACTACTCCGCTCATCTTGATACCACATGTTCGGCTTTAGACTTACGAGGGGCGCACTTTCGCATTTGCTGGCCCAACAATTTGGAACACCCTTCCTGTTGCTCTCAGAAACAGCCAGACACTGGAGTCTTTCAAAACTGATTTGAAGACTTATCTATTTCGAAAACACCTGCTGGGGTGATGTTGTCTATCTAGCCATTATCTTGGAGATGTATATTGGTCTGTGTTGTTTATGGTTGCAAGGTATTAAAGACTTAGAATGGGTATTCTCGTATGTAGTTTTTGTAATGTTGCATTTTGTACTTCAATGTGATATGTACAGCACTTCGAGCCTTTGGGGATGAAGTGTGATTTTCACATAATCTTTATTATTATTATTATTTAGAAACTGAAACCCAATGTATGTATGCACCATCCTGCAGTCTGGCCTCCTTACTCACCCTCGTATGTGTGCACCATTTTGCAGTCTGGCCCCCTACTCACCCCTGTATGCAAGCACCATCCTGCTTCCTGACACCCTTTACTCCCCTCTGTATGTGTGCACCACGATCCTGCATCCTGACACCCCCTACTCACCCCTGTATGCATGCACCATTGTGCAGCCTGGCCCTGTATGTGAGCACCATTGTGCAGCCTGGCCCCCTACTCACCCCTGTATGTGTGCACCATCCTGCATCCTGACACCCTTGACTCACCCCTGTATGTGAGCACCATTGTGCAGCCTGGCACCGAGCTGCCCTAGTCTAAACGGTCTCCCCACACGGGTTCTGTGGCTGATGTACAGATAGCTGATCAGAAACAGGACAACGGCGCCGATGATGAAACTGAAGCCACATTGTGGGTTACAGCGGGGGAGAAACGTTCGCCATCGGAACATGGGAAACAGCCATCGACAGTTCTCTTTAATGAAGCGACTGCCTGTCAACAAGGAAATACTTTATTAAATGTACTGGAATTTAACCTTACACAAACATATATAAATATATAAATACACATTACATATATATAATGTATATAAATACATGTGTGTGTGTGTGTGTATATTAACACATAATATTCTGGGCGAATGCCAATTCATTCCCTTCCTTTGCATTTCCCAGTGTGTCTACCGTTCGATATTTATCATCATGTAGAAAGGTTTCACCACGGAATTTGGTTTTTGCACAAAAGAACTTTGTTTTCCTTCTGTCAGAGTAGTAAACTTGTGGAATGCGTTAACACATCCGAGTTCTTAAAGCTTTGAACAATGCCCTAGAGAATTTTGACCTGATCAAAAAAGTTTCTTTTGTTCGCGTCTCAAGCAAACATTCTATTGCAATAAAAAGAAAAATCCTTATTAAACATTACAAATTAGAGTACACGTCATCTATGCACATATTATCCACTACAACATCCACAGCCAGATAAGATCCACACGCAGTGGCGGACGTCTAGCTGTCAGAATGAGAACCGAGTGGTATGGCAACTCATTAGTTCCCCTACATCCGCCAGGGTTTACGAAACAAGCGTCACCGTCTGCTGTACCAGCATCCTGCGCCGTCTGTTAAAAGTATGACGTATAAATTGGTCTGTTACAGCGCATACATTGGTCTGTTATAACGTATACATTCGTCTGTTATAGCGTATAGATTCGTCTGTTATATTTTACATTCGTCTGTTGTAACTTATATATTCGTCTGTTTTAGCGTATACATTCGTCTGTTATGGCTTAATAAATTCGTCTGTTATAGCTCACACATTCGTCTGTTATAGCTTATACATTCGTCTTTTTTAGATGATGCATTCGTCTTTTTTAGCTGATGCATTCGTCTGTTGTAACTTATAAATTGGTCTGTTATAACGTATACCTTCGCCTGTTATAACTTATACATTCGTCTGTTATAACGTATACATTCGTCTGTTATAACTTATACATTGGCCTGTTATAGCTTATACATTCGTCTGTTATGGCCAGAAGATGTACAACCTTCACTGTTATAGACATAAGATGTACAACCTTCACGGTTATAGACAAGATGTACAACCTCCGCAGTTATGGACTAAAGGTGTGCAACCTTCACTGTTATAGACAGAGGATGTACAACCTCCGCAGTTATGGACTAAAGGTGTACAACCTGCACTGTTATAGACAGAAAATTTACTACCTCCACTTTTATAGATATAAGATTGTACATCCTGCACTATTATAGAAACAAAATGTAAAAAATGCTTTGTTATACGCAGAAAATGTAAAACCTGCACTATCATAGACCGAGGGCGTACAGCTTAAAACATTATAAACCGAAGATCCACAGCGTACACGGCAGTTTGTACAACCAGACGTTCTATATATTTAAAAACCTAACACAGCATAATTTGCCCCTTACCCTACCCAACAGTGAACTATTCATAGCACACTTCTCCAAGCCTGGGATGCACCGTACCTTTGATCCTTGAGCTTACTGGCGTGATGAGCTTCCCCGGAAACGATAAAATCGCGTGCACCAGTTCCTTGACTCGTCCGCCGTAGCCCCGCACATGTTCGCCGCCCACCGACATGAGAACGAACGCCGTCGGGAAGACTCGGCCGATTCCGCCGACCAACACGTTATAGCCACGGTGCGTGAGCACGTAGGCGAGCACAAAAGGAGACTGCAGCATCCTGGAGCTCCTCTCGCGGAAATTTCTCGTAGGGTGTCGCAGAGCCAAGACGAGCTTATCAAAACATGAGAGCCGAACACTGAGAAGCCTCCGGCAATAAAATATACAGACAGTCACCAGCCATCTCGTGCCGAAACGTGCGTAGTGTAAACTAAGGAGAACGGCGTCAGGGGTGCACGAGACGATACTCTGAATTGTAGAGCTGGCGCGGCCCACCCCGACCGAGGCCTGGGGCAAGCACCTGGAAATAGGCCTTAGAGTCCACGACGTGTTACGTCGGCGATGAACCCAGTTCGTGCGCAGGGTGTCACGAACAGATGCCCATCTTCTGCCGAGAACCGGTGTCACGTGATGGAATAATGTTTCACAGATCCAGGAGAGGATCACGCCGAGTGTTGCCGTGGTAACCAGGAGCCCCATCAACGTGACTTTGGTGGCAGCCACGAGGACATCACATATCTCGAGGGAATTTGTGTTTTTGTCACAAACCTCCACGACAGACATTGCACTGATATCGTCACAAACCTCCACGACAGACATTGCACTGATACCGTCACAAACCTCCACGACAGACATTGTACTATTACCGTCACAAACCTCCACGACAGACATTGTATTGATATCGTCACAAACCTCCACGACAGACATTGCACTATTACCGTCACAAACCTCCACGACAGACATTGCACTGTTACCGTCACAAACCTCCACGACAGACATTGTATTGATATCGTCACAAACCTCCACGTCAGACATTGCACTGTTACCGTCACAAACCTCCACGACAGACATTGCACTGTTACCGTCACAAACCTCCACAGACATCGCCTGCGTATCGTCGCAAACCTCTAAAGACGCTGCGTGTGTGCCACCCGAAGCCTCCACGACAGACATTGCGTTTGTAACAGTGACGTCACACGCCTGCTCGGGGATTACGTCAGGCCCCTCCACGCCAGGGCCTCGTCCAGATTCCATTTTCGGACCCCAGGTCACTCAATCAAAAGTAATACACAAAGCACGTTACACCCACTTGAGCGCCACATTCTATCGCCAAATCTGTTGTAACAGCCACTATTGAAGCTTTAAAAAAAAAACCACAGTGGCTGTAACATGCAAATGCATGAGCACAAATTGTGTACAGGCTATGAACGTGGCCATAATGAACAGGGTGTTCGGATGTCAGCTTTGTCAAGGTCTCCGGAAGAGTGAAGAAAACTGAGTGTTCAATTATTGTCCTAGCTATCCAATATGAATATATATATCAATATCAGACATGAAATCTTCAATCTCGAACTCGATCAATAAGTGTTTAGGTTTGGGAGGGGGGGGGCTTTAAAAAAAAACGGGTGGCAGTTGGCTATCGCGACATATCCACACAAAACAACATTGAAAAGAACGGGTGGCAGTTGGCTATCGCGACATATCCACACAAAACAACATTGAAAAGAACGGGTGGCAGTTGGCTATCGCGACATATCCACACAAAACAACATTGAAAAGAACGGTTTCCACAAAAAGTACTCTTGATGACGGCGTCCGCATAAAGGTAATTTTAATCTTGATGTAGATATTCCCATAAAGGTAACATTGGTACGAGTATCCACGTAGATTTATGTAATATAGTGATGCAGGGACCGGCATCCACAAATTGCAATACTGATTGCGGTATCCACACAAAAGTAATATATTGATGAAGGTGTCCACAAAAATTAGATTATTTGTTGATGAAGTAATCCACGGTCAGTAAGATACGATACTGATAGAGTTATCCACAATGGTAACAACCGGTGCACGTATCCGCTAGGAGCGAGTGTGGATACGGTATCCAGATAGAATGACCAAGGCGTTCTCCGCAGATCGCCCTCTCGACACAACCGTTCATTTGAACAGATTGGATCAGACTAAGGCATAAAATGGCTGGCCTAACTTCTTCTTGTTTTTTTTTGTTGTTGTTTTTTTTTCTTCATTTTTTAATTAACTTAATGCCTCATAAACGACTAAAGCGCTCGGGACCCCTGTGGACATGCGCAGTCGAATCATAGTGAGCGAGGGACAAAGGAAATTCAATAATAATATGGTGTTACAGGTTAACCAGAGAAAAACAAATGTGCTTCTTTTTTCTTTTCTTTTTGGTTTGGGGGAGGGCGAGGGTTGGGGGGGGGGGGAATCTTCTTGAGACCTATAAAGACAGGGGGGTGGGGGGGGGTTGGGGGGGGGGGGGAATCTTCTTGAGACCTATAAAGACATTTTTGAAATTCTTGTTATTTTTAAAATGTAGGACGTCCTTTGTGTTAAGTTTTGGAGATTATTACTGACTAGGGGGAGTGGGGTGAAATCATGGGGCGCCACTGGCAGACATCTGTGCGGCAATTGAGCTCGTCATTGGGGTAGCATATTTCAGCACTAGGTTATATGAGTGTCCCCCTGATGACAGAACAGAAAACCAAATTGACCACATATGTATTGGGGGGGGGGGGATCCTGATCTTTACAAGATGTACGAGTTAAAAGAGGAGATGATTTTCCATCTGATCACCATCTAGTTTGGGTCAAGACTCTTAAGCTAAAACTGCAGAAAAATTCAACATAGAACTTCTGGCAAGCAAGCAAAGACGAAATGAATTCAGTGTTACCTTGAGAAATAAGTTCCAAGTATCTGTAAGACCAAACGGATTAGGACCAGGGAGAACTTCAATGGCGAAATATAACATCGACAAGTAACGAGGCATTGGGACCAGTGAAGCACAAACGCAAAGATTGGATCTCACTCAAAAAGATGCAACAAATAAACGAGAGGAAAGAAATATAGTGTGCAGTTAACAACGGCCGCACCAGGGCAGATAGCAGTAAACAACAGCCGCACCAGGGCAGATAGCAGTAAACAACAGCCGCACCAGGGCAGATAGCAGTAAACAACAGCCGCACCAGGGCAGAGAGCAGTAAACAACAGCCGCACCAGGGCAGAGAGCAGTAAACAACAGCCGCACCAGGGCAGAGAGCAGTAAACAACAGCCGCACCAGGGCAGAGAGCAGTAACCAACAGCCGCACCAGGGCAGAGAGCAGTAAACAACAGCCGCACCAGGGCAGAGAGCAGTAAACAACAGCCGCACCAGGACAGAGAGCAGTAAACAACAGCCGCACCAGGGAAGAGAGCAGTAAACAACAGCCGCACCAGGGAAGATAGCAGTAAACAACAGCCGCACCAGGGCAGAGAGCAGTAAACAACAGCCGCACCAGGGCAGATAGCAGTAAAAAACAGCCGCACCAGGGCAGAGAGCAGTAAACAACAGAAGTACCAGGGCGGAAAGCAGTAGACAACAAACCCACCAGGGCAGAGAAAACCAAAGCACAGGAGAACTATAAATTGGTCAATGGAAGGCTAAAGAACAGCATTAAAAATGATAAAAGAGCTTCGATGGATGGTCTAGCGGCAACGGCAAAGAAGCAGCCAGAAAGGCGAACACGAAAGAGCTTGATGTTTGAACAGGAACGCTCTCAGGAAGATACAAGAAGCCAGAGAAACCGCTTAAAGACAAAGAAGGTAGATTAATAACGGAAGGAAAAGAACCCAAACAAAAGATGGGCGGAATACATTGAGGGTGTACTAAACCGACCTTCACCCTCATACACACCAGATATACAACCAGAAAATGAAGATTTATTATACTAAGAGGCGCCAAGGACCGAGATGAATAGAACATTCTTGTAGACGCCCTGTGCCCCGGGTGGGGTAAAAGGCATAAGTAAGTAAGAGAGAAATCACCATTAAAACCACCAGGGCCGTCACGTGGGCGGGTGCAAAAAAAAGGGGGGGGGACACTAAAGTAAGATATTAGCGGTGTCCAGCCATGACGTGGGCGGGTGTAGGGGGGAACTATTACCTGCCTCACTACTTCCTTCCACTCAGACCATCCATCCCTGAGGCGCGACAGCCCATGAGGGCTTTGGCCTGCCTCACTACTTCCTTCCACTCAGACCATCCACCCCTCAGGCGCGAGAGCCCATGCACGACTTTGGCCTGCCTCACTACTTCCTTCCACTCAGACCTAACTAATGTTTTTCTTTTCCATGCTTGGATCCCTAGCTGCTGTAGATCTTTTTCCACATCATCTATCCATCTAAGTCTAGGTCTGCCTTCGAGCCGTTTTCCTCCGTGGGTTTGGTGATGCACCGTCTTCACTCCTCTGTCATTTGGCATTCTTTCTAAGCGTCCTGACCAGCGTAGCCTGCCTCTTCTTTTATTTCTGCTGCTAGCCTGGGATCCTGATATAGACTACAGGCCTGAACAACACCCGGCCCGCCAGCACCCACTTTGCGGCCCGCGAAGTAACGAAATATTATTTTTAATTATTTTCTTAATAGCTTTCCCCATGTACTATTTTCTTTCAACCCGCACAAGTTTTTCATTTTCATAAAGCATTACGGCCGGTCTTACATTTTGAGTTGTGCAGGCCTGGACTATACCATTCCTGGTTGGTTCGTATTCTCCATCCATATTCATCCTTTGTTGGTCCATATATTTTCCGGAGAACTTTTCTTTCCCATGTGTTTAATAGGTTTTCTGCCGTTTGTTTTTGTGTTTTGTTAGGGTCCAAGTTTCAATAAATATATATTTCTTTACATCATTTAATTTTTGTGAAAACGATTGATGTTTAGATTCACAAGCCACGCACCCGGGACAATGGATTATTTGAGAACCCCTTACACATTAAAAACGAGAAGACACTGAGATAAAAGAGACAATAAAGAAACGAGAGGCCTAAAATAAGGAAGGCGAAAAAGTGAGGAGGGATGGGTAGATATCGACAGCCATTACTGTCACACTGTAGACATTAAATTAACCTTTAAAAATTATGTATTAAAAATCGATAAAGTATTGTTGAGAGTAGTCGCCATTGTTCACCTCCTGGTCTTTAGCTTACTTCGTTTACAGTTGTATAGTATCAGAGGGACTGTAGTATTAGTCTACCTTGTGTGTTTGGTCATTGGTAGAGCTTTGATGGCTTGTGTTTGGTCAGTGGTAGAGCTTTGATAACTTGTTGAGGGTCATCAGTGGAGTTTTTAAAACTTGCCATCAGTGAAGTTTGTAAAACTTGCCATCAGTGAAGTTTGAAAAAAAAAACAAGTCATCAGTGAAGTTTGTAAAACTTGCTATCAGTGAAGTTTGTAAAACTTGCCATCAGTGAAGTTTGAAAAAAAAAACAAGTCATCAGTGAAGTTTGAAAAACTTGCCATCAGTGAAGTTTGTAAAACTTGCCATCAGTGAAGTTTGAAAAAAAAAAAAGGCATCAGTGAAGTTTGAAAAACTTGCCATCAGTGAAGTTTGTAAAACTTGCTATCAGTGAAGTTTGAAAAACTTGCCATCAGTGAAGTTTGTAAAACTTGCCATCAGTGAAGTTTGTAAAACTTGCTATCAGTGAGGTTTGAAGAAAAAAACAAGTCATCAGGGAAGTTTGAAAAACTTGCTATCAGTGAAGTTTGTAAAACTTGCCATCAGTGAAGTTTGAAAAAAAAACAAGTCATCGGTGAAGTTTGTAAAACTTGCTATCAGTGAAGTTTGAAAAAAAAACAAGTCATCAGTGAAGTTTGTAAAACTTGCCATCAGTGAAGTTTGAAAAAAAAACAAGTCATCAGTGAAGTTTGTAAAACTTGCCATCAGTGAAGTTTGTAAAACTTGCCATCAGTCAAGTTTGTAAAAAAAAACAAGTCATCAGTGAAGTTTGAAAAACTTGCCATCAGTAAAGTTTGTAAAAAAAAACAAGTCATCAGTGAAGTTTGAAAAACTTGCCATCAGTGAAGTTTGTAAAACTTGCCATCAGTGAAGTTTGAAAAAAAAAAAGGCATCAGTGAAGTTTGTAAAAATAACCTGTGATAGTTCAGCAGATGCAAAGTTTTCATAACTTATTGTTGGTCAACTGTATTCGTGGGATGATTTTTGGTTTTAAAATTGTAGTGATGGGGTAGATTGTGGTTGGTCAATCCATTTGTATCAAATGGGTCGGCCACCTAAGTAGAAATTTATCACCTCAAAGAGATCAAAGTTGCATGCAAAGTTATATTTTTAAAATCTGGTCTATGATATTGGTTAGATCGTTAGATCATACTAATTACACTGAAGCAAAGTTAAAACATAAGTCCTAAGAACAGAAACCGTCTCAGCGTTCATGGTAAATGAAGTGAATTTATTAAAAACAACATAGTTGGACGACTTTCAAATCAATTTCAGAATTTACATATTACTGTTTATGGAAATGATAAAACATAAACTTTGGGGAATGGCAGAGGAACTAATGGTTGACTTTATCAGAGGACTCATGATGACTACCAGTGGAACTCAGTATTTGACTTCAGCAGAGGAACTCATAGTTGACTTAATCAGAGGAATTCATGAGTGACTGTACCATTCAAAGAGAGGTCCGCTGGGACGAGCATATTAACAATGTATGTAACCAAGCAAACCAAGCCTTGGGGTTCTTAAGGCGAAATCTAAAGATTGGCAACTCCTGTGTGAAAGAAAGAGCATATAAAGCCTTTATCCGTCCGATTTTAGATTATGCATCTTCAGTCTGGGACCCATTTACCCAGAAGAGCATTGACAGGTTGGAGGCGGTCCAGCGACGAGCAGCACGCTTTGTCCTAAACCGCTACAGGAATACCTCTAGTGTTGGCAGCATGCTAGAAACACTAGGCTGGTCACCATTGGAGAAACGACGACGACAATCCAGGCTCTCCATGATGTACAAGATAAATAATGGGCTGGTCCACTGTTCCAGTATTAAACAGAAACTCGTCCCTCTCCCCCATAGACAGCGACGAGGCCATGACAGGCAATTCAGGCTCATACCAGCAAGAAGCCAGTATAGGAGCTGCTCATTCCTGCCCAAGACAATCAGGGACTGGAACCATCTTTCAAAAGGAACAGTTGAGGCGACAACACTAGACACATTTGTGTCTATTGCCTCAAGCCTTCTAACCCCTAGTGCATAATTTCCTCATCACCACCAGTAACAAAAACATTGCAAATCCCATCTACATGCATAGGAGCCAAAATGATCAATAAATTGATTGTGGGCCCTTAAGATATAGAAGAAGAAGAAGAGGAACTCATGATCGACTTTATCATAAGATCTCAGGATAGTCTTTATCAGAATAACCCATGGTTGACTTTAGCAGAGGAACTCATGGTTGGCTTTATCAAACAGTAAGTAAAAGCTTTTACTCTAAAAACATTTGCTTGTTTTAAACACTGAAACACTGATAAAAATAAATTTGAAAAGTTTTGTGTTGTTGAAGTGAAGCCTAATATTCATTAAATTTAACTAAAGGAACTGTAGCATAAAATTTCAACAGACAAAATTTATAGGTATACTGAAATGTGGCAGTTGGGTTGCAAGGAAGTTTTAGATTTCTGGTAATCTGAGACAGTCATTAGTGGAAAAAATATCAAAAAGTTTTTGTAAAAATATTGGATATTCTGTGTTCGTCAGCACTTTTCTACAATGAGATATGCAGTCCTGGTTTAGTTGACACTTTTATTTATAATTTAAACTATAGGATAAATTCAGAAATGCATGCTTCTCATGAAGCTATAGAAATCTCAAAAATATTTCCTTGACTCAACTGGCTGTGACACAAAATTTCTCTCTTCAAGACAGTTTCATAAGAAAATTGAGCATATTATGATTCATCTCCTGATGTTTCTCCCTGGTTTCAATATCAGCTTCAATGATTGATGGAGGACATTCACACATTTTGTTGAATGAGGTTACTGAAAGATTAATGTTTTGAGATCTTAAGCCTTTATAACACTATCTTGTTTAAGATATAATTTCATATATAAATTGTTGTAAGAATAAGCACTAGCTTTGATTTTGATTTTTTTTTTTTTTTGCATTTCCTTAAATCAGTGATATTATTACTTTATCATGTAGTCTAATGTTTATTTAAAATAACCAGCCATTCGCCACAGGAAAATTTTGTTTGTTTGTTATATCATGTTCATATTCAGGTACATAACACTATTATAATTTGTTAATTTATAACATGATTCTTCACTCATAGAAGGTTGCAGACCCTTGGTCTAGATGTATAAGTATAATAGTTAATAACTTAGTTATGATTAATAAAAAGTTAGTAACAAATTGTTAAAAAAGAGGCTTGACTATTAAATACAATTAACAATATTGACAATGAAAACAAGACCACGTAACATTACAAGGCATGGGGATGGGCCTTGCAGCATACACTTTTTCAGTCTTTAGGTTAACTATTGCAGGTATTGACTGTTGAAGCCTATTATTGATATTGGGAACATTATTGAATTGGCACCCACTTGCAGAGGCATGACTAGGCACTAGGTCATTAGCATTAGCAGCCATTAGCATGCCTGAATAACATCAAAGAGTGGACGGGACTAAAACTAGGCGATGCTGTGCATAGTGCAGAAGACGCGTAGTGCAGAAGAGGTAGTGCAGACTGAGAAGACAGAGACGAATGGAGGAGGATAGTTCACATGTCATCTGTGGCGCCCCAACGACTAAGGGACATGATGATGATGATGATGAATTCAATTTCAAATAATTGTAATTTAAATTATTTTAATTTTAATTTTTCAACTGGGACAAATCAGAATCAAGACCTGGCAATCGGCAATTGTTTAAAAGAATCAGTTTAGCCAGTTACTCTTAGTAGTAGATATTTTTATTTTAAATATTTACTACATAGTAATAGATTTATGTCAATAGGTAAGTCGCCGGTAATTTTATTTACTACTTTTTTTTTTAATATTGATTTGCAAAACATCGAAATTGTGTTGTGCAAAACTGAAACTTTTTGCCTAAGCCAAAAGTAAGTAAAAGTTAAAAAAAAGCAGGTATGCCGAGCCGATGTACTCACCTGCCACTGTAAATCCAGTTCGCTCTCTCCTATGTGAGTAGTTTGAAGTTAATCGCATTTGGAAACATGACGTCTTATAAATTAAAACTGTTCATACTGCAATTACATCGATGAGAACAAAGTCAGAGAATAAACAGATATCTTACACATAGAATGATAGTATTAAGTATAGTTATTTACAGTGTACTTTGTTGACACAAAATAATGGTCAGAACTTTCACCGAGGCTAGAAAAATACGTGAGTGAAATTCGAGATAGATTTTTTTATTCTGCGTTCGCAGCATAATCATAATGAATTGTAATTAGGGATTAGCCTAAAATTCTGAATTTTGTTAGAACTTCAATATTTTGTATGAAATAGCTTAATTTTTTAAAAACACATTAATCTCATTTACTTTGTGATTATTATATATGAAACTAGCGATAGCTCACTCTTCATAGAATTACATGGAGTGTTGGTTGGTATACATCACGAGCTTTAAAGATTAATATAATATAATAAACATAAGTAATATTAAGCAATTAGTCATCATAATAAGTAGGCTTTCCAATATTTACTTTTATTTTTTTTCAATTTGCATTGAAATTTTGTTTTAAAATTATGTTATTATATTTTTCAAGGGCCCCCGATAATTCGTTTCAGCCAGTAACTTAGCTAGAGTTAGTGCACCCCAGGGTGGACTGATAATTATCACCCTGCCACGGAAAAAAATTACATTTGGCCAAAATGCCCCCCCCCACCCCCATTTTAAGAAAATAAGTGCCGTCCGGGGCGGACAGTCCCCTCCGCATCACTTTCACTTACCTACGCCTCTGATTTCAACAAAGTATTTATAAAAATGCATGCATTGTATTTAAAATATTTATTCCCGAAAACTACTGAGAGTTTTGGCTTCAGTGGAGCTACATTTGAGAACTTTTTTTTTTTTTTTTTTTTAATTGTTATTTTTTTTGAAAAAAGTTAAGAAAATTGTCGAATAAGTAACGGTTATATCTTGAATTTTCTTCCACTTTTCGGTAAAAGTTCAGGAAGTGTGTTGCTTAAACATTGACCTTGATTTGGACGAATCGAATTTTAAATCTTTTGATATTTGAAGGGGTGTTGAGTCACAAATCTTTTTTTTTTTTTTGTTGAGAAAAGTGTTTACATTTAAAATCTTAAACAATATATCTGAATTTCAATTTAAGTTATTTAAAAATATGTATTTTAATGAATATTTAAATTTTATTATTTTACGAGAAGATATTTTAAGTTTTTTTTTTGATTTGGACGAATCGAATTTTAAATCTTTTGATATTTGAAGGGGTGTTGAGTCACAAATCTTTTTTTTTTTTTTGTTGAGAAAAGGGTTTACATTTAAAATCTTAAACAATATATCTGAATTTCAATTTAAGTTATTTAAAAATATGTATTTTAATGAATATTTAAATTTTATTATTTTACGAGTAGATATTTTAAGTTTTGTTTCCAATGACGCAGTAAAAGATTGAATTGTGACCCAGGAAAAGATTGCAATAGTGTGTGGCCTCCCCCCTGCCTCGCTCATGAAAGGATCCACCATGTCGGAAATACGAGCATAAGTGCCAGTCTAATACTAAACATACCATTAACTTGATCTAAGAGTGACATTTATATTAATTTGAAATTCAAATAGTTCTGAACATGGGATCTGGATCTAGCAAAAGTGGAAACCAGTCATCGAGAAAAGAAGACGTTCCTAAAAGTCCTCAGAAACCTGTTGCTAATGTCAATAAACACGACGACGGAGGAAAACAAAAAGACAAAAACATTTCGGCAGATTCCAAACATGAGCAAGATTTAAATAGTTCTAGTCGAAGTCCGAAAAAATCATCTGAACCAATAATTACAGATGTAAATTCCAAATCAAAAGAAGGAAAAAATAGAAATGGGAAAAGAAATAATGCACTATTTACAAGCAGTAATTACGATGGTAGAATTCAGTTTGAAGATGATTCGGATTTTGAGGATGATCTCGACGAAGTTTTGAAAATACCAACAGCTGCATCTAATTACTCTAAAAAGGACAAAAATAAGGAGCAGAAAAAAAGGGACAGAGACAAAGAAAATGAATATGAACATGACTTTCAAAGTAATATTTCGCAACAATATTTACCAGAAACATATGCACAAAGATTACAGAGAAAGCAGTACAAACTTCAGCAGGATGTTTTGATTCGCGAAAAAACAATTGTCAGAAATCCCCAAGAGTGGGATTCTGATGATGATGAAAAGGATGATTATAAAGTTCTAGAAAATGTAAGTTGATTAATATGGCAAAAATCCACTGTAAAAATGTGTGTTACTCATTTGGGTGTAAAGCCTGATTTATAATTTTTTAAAAAAAATTATTTACTTATGATCTTATTTTGATAAGCCCCAATTAAATTAAAGTCTCTAGCAGTCTAGCCCAATTTATGTTAGAATGAGTATGTGATGTAATTTCTTGTTTTCCTCCATTTTAATTTTCTTAAAAATATTGTTATACAAGAGCATAACCACATGCAGTTTTTTTACACTAGGCCCGGATATTTTGAGAAATAGGCCTAAAGAATGTCCTTCACCCTACCTGCCGGCCTTTAAATAATAATAATAAGAGGTCTTATATAGCGTGGTACCTCAGCCTAGGGCTGGGCTCACCGCGCTGTACATAAAAATTTTATCAAACGACACATAATCATGACATTAAAATAAAATACATTTATGAAATAAAGAACAGCAATGTATATTCACCCACCCCACCACATAAATTTTACAAGGCAAACCATGGACGGCAGCCAGCAAGATCGTTTATCGGTCAGAGGAGGGGAATCAATCAGGGTAGTATAATTTTAAAATATATTTTTTGAGTGCAGTTTTGAAGGGCTGGGTGGTTGGTATATTGCGTATGTGTAGTGTCAAAGAATTCCATTGTTTAGGGGCGCAGAAAGAGAAAGATCGTTCACCATATGTTTTAGTGTGTGTCTTGGGAACGGACAGAATACGCCTGTCTGCAGAGGAGCGAAGCTGTCGAAGGGGTGAATAGACAGAAAGAAGTTTGGTTAGAAAGGAAGGGCAGGAATCCAAGAAAAAGTTGTGACAGAGAACAGACAACTTGTAGTCAATGCGTGCCTGTATAGGTAGCCAATGAAGGGAATGGAGTAGTTGAGTGATGTGATCACGTTTTTTTGCCTTTAAAACTAGCCTAGCAGCTGAGTTTTGAACTTTCTGCAGTTTTTCTATGCAGTGTTTTGGTGAACCTGACAGAAGAGAGTTGCAATAGTCAAGACGAGAGAGAACAAGAGCACATACTAGAGTTTTTGTAGCGCTAACTGTGAGGTAGTGGCGTATGGAGCTGATCTGACGGATAATGGTGTATGCTGAACGACAAATGTGAGATATGTATTTATAGAGAGACATGTTGTTAGAAAGAATATAACCAAGATTCCTAGCAGAGGGTGTAAACCGTACGTCAGAGTTACCTACTTGAAATGAGGTAGGAAGAGTTGAGGTAGAGGATGATGTGTGATTGTGGATAAGGAGTGCTTCCGTTTTGTCATCATTAAGCTTCAACTTGCTGAGTGTCATCCATGACTTGACATCATCAATGCACCCCCGCAAAGTCTGGACAGCGGATTCAACAAGAGAAGGATGGGTATGCTTGTATAGCTGCGTGTCATCTGCAAATGACTGACTCTCAACAGCATGCCTCCCAAGCAAGAGGAGCAGTGGTCTGGTATACAATGTGAATAGAATTGGGCCTAAAACGGACCCCTGTGGTACTCCGTACACCAAATCAGCGCTGCCTGAGAGGCAGCCATCGACAGAGCGCCTGCGTTCTATCAGAGAGGTAGGACCTAAACCAAGCCAAAACTGAACTAGAAATTCCAAAGTAATTTTCAAGGGTTTTGAAAAGGATTACATGGTCAACAGTGTCAAAGGCCACACTGAGGTCTAAGAGGATCAGGATGGAGATATCACCACTGTCCAATGTGAGCAAGAGGTCATTGGTCACTCTCAAGAGAGCCGTCTCTGTGCTACATAGGCCTACAGACAGTCCTACACCCTACCTGCCAGCCTTTAAACAATAGACCTACAGAAAGTCCTACACCCTACCTGCTGGCCTTTAAACAATAGGCCTACAGAGAGTCATATACATTACCTGTCGGCCTTTAAACAATATGCCTACAGAATGTCCTACACCATACCTGTGGCCCTTTATTAATTAATATAATAGTCAACTCCCCCCTAAAGAATCAGGCAGAATTGTGTGATGTCATTTATGATGACCCACTACTACAATAATGATATTTTAATTATTAATGATGTTTCATATTTACTAATCTAACAGTGTTTATTTCAAATTATTTCCATTAATAATCTTATTATTCTGCTACTTTTAATCTTACAAGGCATCCCCAAGCAGAGGTTTTGACGCAAGCAAGTTTCGAGCTGTAAACAAAGGAGTAAGTTTACATGTATTTTTTGTTGAGTGATCTATAGCAGGCCTGCACAACATACGGCCTGTGCAACATACGGCCTGTGCAACATACGGCCCGCAAAGTAACGAAATATTCTTTATTATATTTTTTTTTATATAGCTTTCCCCCCTGTCCTATTTTCTTTCGGCCCGCCGACATTTTGTGTTGTGCAGGCCTAATCTATAGGAATGCTGATTTGTTTACCAAAAATCTTCAAAACTACCCTACAATTAGCTCCAAACTAAAGTATATAGGCCTAATAATGAATTTAAATGTAGGATTTTTTTAAAAATAGGCTAGTTTTACTATGTATTAAAGACTGACTGAAATAGATTTATAAGATGAGGCCTATTTATTTCTACAGGATGTAAAAACAAACGATTTTGCCACAGTGTCAAATGGTAAGTAACTCAATAAATTACTGTTTGTTTAGTCAGCTCAATTAATTTTCCTTACAACGCTCAATTGCAATTATTTACATAATTATGTGTAACTTCAATGCCCTGGAATAGCTGTTTACTTTGACAATGAATTGATTTTCATGAATTAGATTTATTAAGTCAACAAAGAAAGTTCAGAGCTAAACTGCTACTTTTTACAAAATTACTAGGGCACTTAAGTGAATTATAATTACTATTTCATTCATTCTAAAATTCACCAGATGGTTGTATAAAAAAAAAAATCTCTGTCAGAGATGATAAAATTTTCAATGCACTGTCAACTGACATACATATTGGCGCA